TTCCATCATGGATCATCTGACACGTGGTACTATCACATATCTGTGGTTGAATGAGATTGGTAACGATTTGGAGCATCGCACCGCATAGTGTTGAAGTGGTTTTCGAATTACTTCTTGGTCAACACTGTCTTTTGAAGACGATTTCCAAGTCGATGAAGTTGAAGTAGAGCGAGGTTTGACTGACATTCTTTACTCTGTTCGATGGTGATAATGATAATGCGTAGAGTTGCAATTTGATCAGCACATGATTTGCCTTTTCTGGATCTAGCTTGTTCTGGACGGAGTTCTCCATACAGTGCATCTTTCGGTCTCTCCAGGATAACAGCATTATTCCTTATTGGTTTTTGTAAAGAAATTAGTCACCCTTCTTTGGTATTTTGACAAAGTAGCCTTTTTTCCAATGTCCCCAAATGAGTATTCCACATTCGAATTATAAGCCAATAGAATGATCTTAATGATAAATAGTGGATATTACCTCTATGTTAATAAGTTATTATAACGATGTATTTATACATCAGTAGATACTATTCATCCTAGAAGTTATTGTTGTCTTGCTATGATGTCGAAATAAGCTTCACAATCAATATATCTCCCAGCTAATCAATGCCCAGTTTTAAACAGTTTGACAATAAATACATTTTGTAACGTCATATACTTTAAGAATATCACTAAATAATATACTCAAGATGTTATTTAGTAGGTGATGACTACCAATGGATTCCAAGATGTGCATTTCCTCCTACATGAGACTCGTCAGCCGCATGTATCTTCATCCCCAGTGAGGGGTAGTGTTTCCATTAAGAATGGAATCCGACACCCATCGTTTCAATTTACCATAAACAAAGTCCACTGGGTCATTTAGGCTGTGAGAGCCACCATTTGTGCAATGAGTATCAGCTATTGTCACTACTGAAGTCATTTATCTTTTTCCTGTTGACTGGTTCGACCAAGATGTTGGATGATCGGTTCCACTGCTCAAGTCTTCCACCGAATAACATTAGTTTTAATCCAGAGACATTGTCAAAGTGTCCGTACTAGCAGCCAGTATATAAACAAAGGCCGAATATTCCGGTGCAGCCAATCAATGGGAATTAAGCTATTTCATTTCAGTTTGAAATAGGATTATGAAATGATGCCTAGTTAACAGATGAAATTCTGTTTATGAAGAAAATTCCCATCTAGACATTTGGAAGGTTAAAAATATGATTCAGTAAAGAATATTTAAGTATTGGTTTGTGGGGATTTGATTGATTACAGGACTTATCACGAATTGGTTTCAGTTAGGGAACCGTCGAAAACCGGCAGGGAGTACTGCCAGGCAGCTGTTTCGTCCTAGTTTGGGACTCTTCATATGTACGTACCCACCGAGTTGGGTCCCAGTGGCTGAGTGGCTTACGAGCTCGCCTTATATATAACATTAAGGTCCTGAGTCCTAACCTCATTGGGTGAGTACTGTGAAGAGACCCGATGGTTCTCTAAATGATGCCGGCTGGTGATTAATCCTGTTAAGAATATCCTTCCTAATATCTTTTTAGTATAACTCTACAGTTATCTATACACATATAATATTTAAAGAATAATTTCTCTTGACAACACTGATGTTCATCATCGAATATCTGAACATCACCTTCTCTGTGGTTAAGCTTAGTTTATACGTGGTTATATTTCAGTCCCCCTTGTAGATACTGGACATAAAGTCGATGTTAACAAGGCATTTAAAGTTATCTACAGTCCTCCCACTAATCCTTATTTTCTCTTTTACATACAGCTGTGAAGCTATCGAAATCGCCACAAGAAGAAGCTAAACTTATATATGTTCAGAGGTAGTTCGTGTAGTAGTTTACTTTCCTTAATTTAGTCGTCATTACTTGATTGTAAAAATCTGACAATTTCTCCTTCTATCTAAACCTTATCGTTGATATAACCACGTTTATCTGTCGTTTAAGTTTGATCCTAACTACTCGTTACTATGTAAAAGGTAACATTATTGTCATCAATAACAATTACTGAATTGAATTTTTGATTTTCTCGTCGATTGATTGGACCGAAGTGCTCGGTCTCAGGTTGACATGTCGGCTTCTTGTGCAGATGCTTCGACGATGTCCGGGCATTTAGTTAGTATACAATTGGTGGATGGTGGCTAGCAGTGGAATCCAGGATGCGCATTTCGTCCTATTTGGGAACATCATCACTCACTGAGAAATGCAGGTACATCCAGCTGACGAGTCCCAAATAGGACGAAATGCGCATCCTGGATTCCACTGCTAGCCACCATCCACCAATTGTATAATAACAGTTACTCTTTAAATATGATATATATATATATATATATATATATATATATATATATAACTGTAGTATCCAGATGAGAAAGTTATCGAAAATATTCCCAGTCTTCCTTGTCTTATAAATTCTGATTAGTTATGAAATGTTTGATTAAGTTTCAAAGTAGGGGATAGTTAAGCTGAGAAGTTGTCGTAGTAGTGGTCGATTTAGCATTCTAGATTCTTTGCACTAATTCATTTTACACACTAAATATTGCCTTATGAGTTATGAAATGTTCAGGCGAACGTTTCTATGTCTATTTGGAGAGATGTTTTCATATGCCCTCAATGCCTCATTATTGGTGGGTAATTACAATTTATAGATGCTGTTGAAGTTAAAGTGATTATTAGTCAGTCATACGCATTACTAGAACATGCTTACTGGGAATTCTGTTGTCAAGCTCTCATTCATGAGTTGGAGGGGGAGGCGAACCTACTGATTGAACCCAGTAGAGAGTAAATTGAAGAAATACAATTTCTAGGACAATCACTTTTATTATTTTATTCCTGTACGTTCCCAGTATACCATAGAGCTTCGAAGTTTCGGTAGTAGTGGTGTTAATTTTTTACGGGATAGGGTTACTAGCCTCATGCCCAACTTCCTCTCTTTACCAGTCTTATTACTGGCTCAGCGAAGTAAAAAAGTGAGACGGTGGTCCGGGACTTAACTCCGAACCACCTGAGGCGTGGCTGGCAAGCATTCCACTGCTGTGCCACTAACGCAAAGAACAACCAGAACTTTTTAAAATTCGTGTGTGTGTATTATTATTTTAGGTTATTTAGAACTATTATATGAACATCTTAGAGCTGACTAACTGCATTCTGTGCAACAGATATTGATTACAATAAGGAGAAGCTTTCATCAATTAGTTCATTGTTGGTCGAGGTAACTATTAGGGCTCAACTAATCATGATGATGACGATGAGTCGTTGACTCAGGTACTCCTTTCATCACCAACAACTATCTACCATCATGAATTTTAGAAGGAGATGCCGAAAGAACACTGCTGACTGTTGGGGTATGCTTCTGATGGAATAATACTACTTCAAATGATGTATTACTGATTATTATTATTATAATACTACTTAAATATGCTACCCAGTCGGTAAATACCTTGTAATCAAATACACCGAAAATTCTGCATAATGTATAAAGGAAGGAGACCAGTAGGGTGCAGCAAGTCGGATGTGAGGACAAATACTTGCCCAAGACATTGGCGAACGGACGCACTATGTAGTCAATCGGGAGAGGTTAGAATTCATGGGCTGGCCATTGGATTGGTGGGTCCCAGTGGCTTAATGGGCTACGAGCTCGGTAGCCTTGTAACCAGAAGGTCCTGGGTTCGAACCCTGGTGGGTGCGTACTGATGAAGAGTCCCAAACTAGGATGAAACAACTGGGTAGTACTCCCAGTTGACTACAACCCGTTGTGTTATTATTTCTGATACTGTTCTGAAAAGAATCTCCTCTTCTATTTTCAAGTCAAGTTTAACACCAATCAATGGTTCACTTCATGGTATTGCAAGTGAATTATATTTAGACAATACTTGAATTCTCCATATTTAATTTATGCACACACAAGTATCAGTTGTAAGTTAGTTACAAGTTTAATTCCATAATACAATTAAGAGTTCTAATAAGAAGTCATGACCACTGCGGTCTATCAATTTTGTCTGTGAAGAGATTTACTCACCGATAATACTGATTGGCGGTCATCTGCTATATATCACCAACTGACAACCATTCGATTCTGTCCCAATGACTGAATAGTGGTCAGTTTAGCTCCCCCTATGAAATGCAGGCCCTGTCTTTGATCCCCGGTAAAGTGATGACTCAGTGTTGTTGAAGAGTCTCGAACAAGGACGAAATAACTCTCCAAACCTTACCCGTGAATCGATGATTCTTTCGCAGATACCACTTCGTAAACACACTTTAAAACTAACATCTAACCTTATTATAAGCAGTTCCTTAGTTATCAAGAGTTAATTTCTCAGGTAAAAGTCAGAATTCATGCACTGGCCATTGAATAGGGTCCCAGCTGCTGAATTTTAGACGAGCTCGCTAACCTTGTAACCACCAGAGGGTACTGGGTTCTAACCCTAACTGCGGGTGAGTGCATACTGCTGATGATTCCCAAAACTAGGCATATAAAACAGCTGTCCAGTACTCCCTGGTTAGTTTTCAATAATTTTCGAACTGATATCAACCCGTGGTCAAATTCGTAAAAGTAAATCTAATCCTTACAAACCAAACACTTGAAAATAATGATGAATATGGAAAGGAATGTTATTTATTATTCAGAACTATGATTACATGAAATAGAGGTGTACAGGAAGAGGGAATCTTATCCTATTTTCACTAGCAGAGTAGATTGACACTTTATATTTGTACCAACCGAAAAAGCAACTAGTTAACACATTGATTATGGGAATTATCAAGAATAGAAAAAACTCATATAGTATATGACTCCACAAAGGATTCATATACTGTCCATTTTACATGGATATATAAATGCCTAATTATGTAACCTTAATCGAGAGTTTCTATCACGTACTCATAGTAACTTTAGAGTAAAATGACATCAATTAACCGCTTGTTCCACTCAAAACATAAAGAAAGAAAGGCACGCGCGCGCGCCACAAACACACAGAGAAGGGAAAAAAGGCTTCAACTCACCACTTGAATCAATCATTGACAATTTTCCTTTTTCATCATTAACACTACTACTTGAATTCAATAAATCAGAGATGAGAAATGATTTTTGACCTTCAGTCTCTTGTTCAAATTCACAAGAATTCAGTGGATTCTTTAATTGATTCATTTGTTGTAAACATTCATTTGAATTATTTACCATCATGAACGACGTTGATGTTGATGAGGATGACGAGGATGTTGAGGATGATGAGGAAGATGTCGACGATGACATTGGTGGGGATTGATGTGGTTGTTGCTCCTGCTGGTGGTGGTGGTTGTGTTGACTATGCATCATTTGAATTTGTTTCATAATTGTTTTAATATTTTCATTCTCTGTGAATAATTTAACCGGGAAATTAAACTGTCGTTTCAAATGCTCCAAAGTTATATTATGATGACTGTTCGTATGAATATTATCATGATTATTATTACTATTATTGTTTTCATTATGATTACTAAGGTTTACAGTAGTACTGTTATTATTATCATCATCATCACTGTTCGAGCCCATCACATTGGTAAGAAAGCATAAATCCGATGATTTTGTTAATTCCATTGCCGCTGCCGCCGCTAATGCTGAGGTTGCTAATGGTGTTGCCGTCTGTGTAGCATTCGTTATCGTTGTCATCATTACTTATTTATTACACAACTGGCTTCTTTTTGTGTGGGATATTATATTATCGTCAGTAGGTGTGTGAACTACTTCCCTTTTTATATAATAATGAAAATAATAATAATAGATTGGTAAATAAGTAAATAGATAGGTAATAGAAGATGTGGTTGTTTTGTGCAAAATGCTGTGGCGTGGGGTGGAGAGTGGAGATGGGAGTTGAGGGTTGGAAGTGAGAGACACGGTGAAAAAAAAAACCAAATGCACACACAACGGAAGACAGATGTGGAAGAGTTATTTACAATAAATAATACTAAAATAGGATAGCTGATCAGACTTTAATTTCACTTTCTTCTCACCCTTCATTCTAATCATATCAGTCTCTCTCATCCTCATTCTAATTATGATTACCTATAGTGATGATGATGATGATGGTGATTAGTCTTCAAGGCGTTGTTTGTCTACTTGTTTATTTTCATGTCCTCTCCTCTCCTCTCTTGTCCTATCCTGTCCTGTCCTGTCCTGTACTTTCTACCTTCTACCTTCTGTGTGTGTGCGTTTTTTTTTTAAATAAGCATTTAATTCAGTGTTCTACAAATAGTATTTCAATAATGTCATGCTTTGAAAATTCCTTTTCTAACCCCACTGTGTGGCGTTCGTTTGACAGCTGTTTGTGCATTTATATATATATGTGTGCATGTGAGTGTGTGGTGTGTGTGTGTGCGTATTGGGAATGACACAGTTAAAATGAAGGATTAAGTACTTGTACTTGTACTTGTACCTCACCACTGTGTCTATCCTATCTATTTTAATAGGAAGAAATTCCTATTTTGATTTAACCAGTCATCCATAGACAAAATGCCACCTATTTTTTGTTTATTCCCCTTTTAACCAATCATAATTGTCTAAGACAGAAAAAAGGAAAACTTTTTCCTTCATTATTATAATTATTATTACCGTTATCATCTTCCTCATCCCGTTATCACTTCGGCTTGTTGGTCTTCTACAACAGCAACAACAACTACTACTTCGTCATCGTATTCACACGTTTGTTTCTTTCCCTGTTGGAATCATAATGGCCTACTTATGTTGTCTATGTTAGCATGCGTGCATGTTTGTGTGTGTGTGTGTCTGTTTACACACTCAGGTAAAAAGAGAAACAAACAAGATTTCATCATGAGCTAACATTGGTTAGAGAACCATTGGAAAACCTGGGAGTACTGGACAGCTGTTTCGTCCTAGTTTGGGACTCTTCGGCAGTACTCACCCACACCACGGGGTTCGAACCCAGGACCTTCTGGTTACAAGGCAAACGATCTCATACAATATTAAGCCACTGGAACCCGATCCAACGGCAAGCCCATGAATCCCACGACATAGCGCAAGTACTTGTCGATGTCATCGCTGGTGACTATTTGTCCTCACACCCGACCTGCTGCACCCTACTAGTCATGACTTCTCACTAGAACCCCAGGTCACCACCTACCTAAGAAGTGAGAAGTCGTGACTAGTAGGGTCCAGCAGGTCGGGTGTTAGGACAAATATTCTCCGAAGACACTGGCTAGCGGTTGCGCTATGTCGTGTATTGGCACAAGCTAGAATTCATAGGCCATTGGATCGGGTCTCAGTTGCTTATTGGTATACGAGCTCGCCTTGTAACCAGAAGGTCCTGGGTTCACACCTTGGCGGTGGGTGCGTGTTGCCAAAGAGTCACAAACTAGGACGAAACAGCTGTCCAGTACTTCCAGGTTTTCCAATGATGAAATTCTGTAACCATTCAAATCCCTACAAACCAACACTTGAAAAACAAACAAATTGAGGCAGTTGAAACTCTGATGAATAGAACTATTAAAAACCAGCACTGGGGTATTGGACAGCTGTTTCATCCGTCTAGTTTGAGAATCATCGGCAATGCGCACTCACTCACAGCTGGGGTTTGAATCCAGGACCCTCCAGTGGTTACAAGGCAAGCTCATATACCATTCAGGTACTGGGAACCGATTCAATGGTCAGTGTGTGAATTCTAACTTTTACCTTACAAATCAGCTCTTGAAAACTGCTGAATAGCTTGTAATAAAGTTAGATGTTAGTTTTCAAGGATTTGATGATTTTTGAAGTGTGTTTACGAAGTGGTATGAGTAAAAGAACCGTTGATACGCTAGGAAATATTAGACATCTATTTCATCCTCGTTTGAGACTCTTCAACATCACGGAGATATCGCCTCACCAGGGATCAAAGTCAGGGCCTACATTTCATAGGGGGAGCTAAACTGACCACTATTCAGTCATTGGGACAGAATCGAATGGTTGTCAGTTGGTGATATATAGCAGATGACCGCCAATCAGTATTATCGGTGAGTAAATCTCTTCACAGACAAAATTAATAGACCTCAGTGGACATGACTTCTTATTACAGCTCTTAATTGTATAATGGAATTAAACTTGTAACTAACTTACAACTGATACTTGTGTGTGCATAAACTAAATATAGAGAATTCAAGTATTGTCTAAATATAATTCACTTGCAATACCATGAAGTGAACCGTTGATTGGTGTTAAAGTTGACTTGAAAATAGAAGAGGGGATTCTTTTCAGAACAGTATCAGAAATAATAACACAACGGATTGTAGTGCATTGTACTTGATGTAATCGCAATATCACTCCAGTTTATTGTTCATAATCTCTTGAGAGCATTAAAAAACTGTTTAAACCAAGTTTCTAAATCAAACTTTTTGCATTGTAGCTATTATTAATGTTTAATGATCAATGCACTTTTCATATGAGCATCGTAGGGAACTTATAGCTTCTTGTTTGAAAGTGAGTAGAACAGATTACCTTGTTGTTTAGTCGATGGTGGCTATGAGTAAAGTTGAGGATGCACATTTCCTCCTATTCGGGACTCACTATCTGGATGTACTGAATGTTGTCACTTACGCTTGAGCCTAGTAAACGTTTGCTTTTCTTTTTCAAACGTTAAAGCATGATCCATCAAGCCAATTGATCCGCCTCTTATGTGTTCATACTGAGCATTTCAGTTAAATACGACCAGTTAGCGGGCAGTTATAAAATTAAGTCCGATAAATTGTATATTATGCCGACAATGATGCAGATCTATAGTTGAAATGTGAATAGGTTTCAATGTTGTGGCGTTCTCTGAATGCTGAATGTTTTCATTGCATAGTTTTTATAGTCGTCTTTTTCGACAGCACTAACTTGAAAATCCACTTCAGTAGAGACGCTACTAAGTTCAAATACTTAAGTGTTTATCTTATGGTATTATCGTATAATCGTCATCATCATGAGTAGAGCTCAATAGTCTAACAATAATAGCTTTATTCTTCTATTATACCTTGTAGAAAATTTTCGGTGTGTGGTCACGACTTCTCATTATAACTTCAGACAACTTCATTCTGTAACTGGTCACTAGTGAATATTAGATTAATTTTCAAGAGTTGCCTTTTTTCGTTACTATTCACATTTTGAAATTTCTTAGTATAAAGTGAATCTGATGTTCACTAGTGACTGTCTACAGAATGAAGTTGCTTGGAGTTTTGGTGACAAGTTGTGCCCTGTCGGCGTCCACCCAATAGGGAGTGAGAATATATATATCCTCGCCAGTGACATTGGCTGTTGGTCATGCTAAATATATCACGAATTGAGAGGAGATAGAACTGAAGGGTCATTGTGTAAGGCTAAATTTGTTTACGAGCCATCCTTGTAAATGGAAGGTAGTGGGTAGGTACTGTGAATAAATCTCGGACCAGTGGTGAACAGCTATCTAGTACTCCTTGGTATTCAATGGTTGTTTAACATGGATCAATCCGTGATCGAAATTGAAAAAAATCAAGTTTCTATAAATTAACTTTTTATGATCTAAAAGTTTTCCGTATTTTATATGTTCTCCTCCCCTACGCTTCGCTTTCCACTTTACAGAGAATATCCGTTGATGATGACTTGAAGTGGAAACTGCAGTGCTTACATTACTGGATCCTCTAATTTACTATATTTCCACTGTTTTAGGTGACGTTATGAAATCTGTGAAATTTATATCATGACTTCTTGGTTAAGCAATCAACTCATACTATTTGATAATGTTACCAAAGTAATTCTAGAATGAGAGCCCCAGTCGCACTTTCCTAGTTTAAACTTCTATTGCCAGTATAATTAGAGTTTATTTTCTTTCTTCTAATGGTAGATTCTTTTTGAAGCAAAAAAAAAACAGATCAACAATTGAACTTATATGTACCCCACCCCACTTGTGAAATAGGGATCTTTGCATCTATCAAGTCTCTGGTGCATTTCCGAATAACCATGAAATATTAAGCGATAAGACAGTATATGTAGTTAGATGCAGTTTGGTAGACTCCCCTCCCTCCATTGGCCACAAGTCCTCACTACAACTTCGAGGATATCTATTCTGTAACCGCCAGTCATTTGGTTTTATCTCAACCTACTATTATTTACTGAATAATTATCATCATTTTGATTACCTGAAGTTCTAATAAGATCAAGTATTGGTTTTGTAGGGATTTTGTCTGATTGGTCGGAGGATTTCATCCTTAGCTGACATCATTTAGAGAACCATTGGAAAACCAACTACCCAGCTGTTTCATCCTAGTTTGGGACTCTTCAGCAGTACGCACCCACACCACAGTGGGTTCGAACCCTTCTGGTTACCTTCTGGTTACAAGGTGAGCTAGCTCGTATACCATTAAGCCACTGGGACCCTATCCAGTGGCCCATGAATTCCAACTTCTGTCAATTCATGACATAGCGCGACCGCTAGCCAATGTCTTTGGCGAGTATTTATCCTCACACCCGACCTGCTGTACCTTGCTGTGCAAACAGCTTCTGTGAGTGGGACATTGGTGAACAGTGATTCAATGTCAGAAGGTAGCACACTTTTATTAGTAACATTCATATCTTGCATGTAGTCGACGAATTGGAAGGTATCACGAAGCGAGTATATATATATATATATATATATATATATATATATATATATATATGCACAGGTGTTGCCTTACAGGTTCCAGAATATCAGCCAGCCATTTAGGAACAGAATGATAAAGGAAACCTGACAGATTTAGAATTGTTCAGTTTTTAGCTTACGGAGGGTGTCCGTTAGCTTTTGTTCGGTCGGTTCAGTCATGTTTTTCTCGTTAATCGGTTTTGTGAATTTACATTCATCGGATAGTATAGTCAGCATCTTACTGATATAGTCCTTACGATTCATGATTACGATTCCTCCGCCTTTATCAGGATGTAATATCATAGTCTCTTCGTTTTTCATAAGTTCTTTCAGCTCCTTATAGTGCCTCTTCGTCAAAATGGACCTTCCGTTGGGTTTGGTATTTATAAACTTTTGACAACTGTCGAGGATTGATGCTTTGAGTTGTTGTAGGTTTTCATCTGATGTGGGTGTGAGATCTAATAAACCAAACTTACGATCTCACACCCACATCAGATGAAAACCTACAACAACTCAAAGCATCAATCCTCGACAGTTGTCAAAAGTTTATAAATACCAAACCCAACGGAAGGTCCATTTTGAC